ATAATGTACATGTATATGTATAGTACACTGTATGATCACATTGAGAAAAGAAACACCATTAAATGCAATGATCATTGATCCACCAATTAACAGTGTCTCATTGATCATTCCATTTAATATGGTGTTTCTTTTCTACAATGGAGCCAGTTCAAGAGGTTTATGATGACAGAGCAGCTGTGAGTAGAAAAGAAGAACTAATACAAACTGTACTGACTGATGTGAAGACTCATGAGGTTACCATAGAAACAAACCTAGCACTGAGACATGCTAGAGTCAAGATACATGATTAAAACTGATGAGTCAGAGCAAATCATAATAAAGAAACTAAGAGAATTACAAGAGAAGGAGGGAAACTGTTGAAAAAAGTGAGTGACTATAGATTATACATAAAGTACATGTAGAGCCGTAGAAGTTTCTTTATTAAATAACTGACATAATATAGAAACAAGATAGCTTCTAGGGTAGAACCATAGGTACATTATATATGTACATCATACATTTAGCAGATGACTTTGAATGCCATAGAAACCTTTACCTTGGTGTATAATAATTATAATAATCACATGTTATCTGTTTTATTTTACTGCTTGTATTATTATTGTTGTTATTAGTTGCAGGATAAGTTTGATAGTGTATGTGAGAGTTCACTGGAGGCTATTGATGCACTTGAAAGTATTCAAAGAATAACAAGAAGTGGAGGAACAGAGTCATAACATTAATAGTACGTTGATAGATTATACGTTCAATTTTTAAAAATTTTATTAATAGCAATCAAATTCAAAAGTAACTATTATTGTCACACAAAAAATACTGCTGCATTAGACTATCAATCAGCTAATAATGAAAAGATTACATACAACGTCAATTATAGCTACTTCTACATGTATATTCAACAAATAGTCAATTATACACACATGTACGTGTACATATCATTTAAAATTAAAAGCCTAAAAACTACATGTACATGTACATTGAACATTTATGTCTCTAGTACTACAACATAAAAAAAGTTAATTACATGTACTCTTGAAGTTAAGCAATTGATCATTGATCAAGACACAAACTGTGACATATTACTTGTCACTGCTGAATTTGGTGTATTAGTTCTTCCATAAGGTATCTTGAGTTCTTTTTGCTTGCTGTAGTATGGATCATAAGCTTTCTTCATAAATGAACTAAACAGGCCAAATATTGACTTGATTGCTGTAACAGTACTGTGTTTCCTATTAGTTGACTCAGCATTATTTGATACAGGATCAGTAGTCTTATCATTGTTTGATACTGTATCTGGTTCAACAGCTGGAGTGTTGGTAGTTAGTAACCCTTTAATATCAGATCGATCATATAAGATCTCAATTTCATTCACTATATCGAGTGCATTCTCTCCTTCATCGTTAGTTTTGTTAACATTAGCTCCAGCTTGTATTAATGTATCAACTAGTTCAATGTGTCCACATGAAGCTGCTATCATTAATGGAGTTATACCAGCTACCAGTGGAGTATCTGGACTCATACCAACTTCATAAATCATACTAATTAATGTTCCTAAATCTCCTTCAGCAGCTGCTATTAATAATTTTCTCTCATTATTTGAAAAACTTGTTATTTTTTCAGACAAGTGAATCATCATTAAAGAATGACCTCCACAACATGCTAAGGATATAGCACTGATGATGTCATCTGGTGTGATGTCACATTTCTTAATTAAAATTTCAACTGCATCAAAATTATTGACTAGAGCTGCCAGTGCTAATGAATGAAGCTTCTTACCATCACAAGTGTGAATATGATTGGGATGAGAATCTAGTAAAAGCTTTAATATTTTAATATAATTACCAGAACATTCCTTGTCAAGAAACTGAGCATGTTGATCAAGAGTTATGTCAGCAACTGATACAAGCAATTTTGTAATAAAGAAATTTGAGAACACTAGAGAAATGCTAAATGCACTGGTGCCATGATTATTTTGAACGTTAATATCTGGATCTTTACTCAGTAAGAGTTCAACAACCTGGTGATGTCCATTGGTGATAGCAACCATCAAAGCAGTATATCCATGTTTATTTTGAATGGTTATATCTGGATCTTTACTCAGTAAGAGTTTGACAACCTGGTGATGTCCATTGGCACTAGCATGCATCAAAGCAGTCCATCCATCATTATCTTGAATTTTAGTGCCTGAATCATTATTCAGTAGAAGTTCAACAACCTGGTGATGTCCATTAGCACTAGCAGCCATCAAAGCAGTCCATCCATCATTATCTTGAATTTTAGTGCCTGGATCATTATTCAGTAATAGTTCAACAACCTGGTGGTGTCCATTGCCACTAGCAAACATCAAAGCAGTCCCTCTATTATTATTATTATTTTGAATGTTAATATTTGGATCTTTACTGAGTAGAAGTTCAACAACCTGGTGATGTCCATTGGCACTAGCAGCCACCAAAGCAGTGAATCCATAATTATCGTAAATGTTAATATTTGGATCTTTACTCAGCAAGAGTTTAACAACCTGGTGATGTCCATTGGCACTAGCAAACATCAAAGCAGTCCCTCCATTATTATTATTTTGAATGTTAATATCTGGATTTTTACTCAGTAGAAGTTCAACAACCTGGTGATGTCCATTGGCACTAGCAAACATCAAAGCAGTCCATCCATTATTATCTTGAATGTTAATATCTGGATCTTTACTCAGTAATAGTTCAACAACCTGGTGATACCCATAGCCACTAGCAACCATCAAAGCAGTCCATCCAATATTATTTTGAATTTTAATATCTGGATCATTGTTCAGTAATAGTTCAACAACCTGGTGGTGTCCATTGCCACTAGCAAACATCAAAGCAGTCTCTCCATTATTATCTTGAATGTTAATATCTAGATCTTTACTCAGTAAGAGTTTAACAACCTGGTGATGACCATAGCGACTAGCATACATCAAAGCAGTCCATCCATTAGTTCCTTGAATGTTAATATCTGGATTTTTACTCAGTAAGAGTTCAACAACCTGATAATGTCCATTGGTACAAGCAGACATCAAAGCAAGCCACCCATCATTATTTTGAAAGTTGAAATTTGGTCTTTTTTTAATTATGGATTGAATAGTCAAGAAATCTCCTCTTCTACTAGCAATAATGAGGTCAGTGCTATCATTTTTAAGAGATAAGCTAACATCAAGTTCCAACAAGAAAAACACTAAACTTTCATTGTTATTTTGATGTGCATCCTGTAGTGCCCCCTCAAATGTAAATGAACTATCTTCATCTTCCATCATGATAGGAATATCATCAATCATAATCTCAAATACACCAACCTTATATAGAAAAACCCTCTGTTCATTAACTGCTTCCATCAATGTCTGACTGTTTAATTGAGGTAGCAGATACACACACGTAAGGCTGGAGGTATTACGATGTACTTCTTTAAGTGTTAGAAAAGATGAAATAGGTAATAAGTAAAAAAATTCCATTTTATTTAATTTAGCAATTGTCCTGGAGCACCATGGCTTGTTGAATTTTAATATCATTTTAGAACAGCCAACACCATCAGGACATTGCATTCCTTTAGTCATCATTGCTAGCTCCAGTAGGCTAGTGGTATCTTTGAACATCTTCAGGTTAGTATTGTATTCTTCTACCTGTTCCTTGATAGGTTCTGTGATAGTACATGGTATTGTGAGAAAGTTGATGTTCAAACACGAGTAATGAGGCTGGAGCAACTGAACAAGTTGATGGGCATCTTTACAAGTAGCATCTTCTTTGATGTATAATTGAAAGTATAGTTTTGCTTCTGTTACTAAGGCTTTGCTGTTCAAAACATTAGTGGCAGCATCAAGAAAACTACTGTCTAATGCATGAAAACAATCTTGCAGCCATTGAAACTTTTCCTTTAAATTATTTTCAATAAGAGTTACGAATGATTCATAAAAATGACTACTCACTCCTCTTTCTTTAAAAGCCATTTCCAGCATTTCTCCAACTGAAGTGTCATCTCGTGGATTAATTCTTTCTCCTCCAATTGATTTGTATACGTGCTCAGAGAGAGCAGTGCATGCTAAATAGTTTAATCCAATGTATCCTTTATTGAATGGTAGTGGTACAAATGGATTAGCACTATTTTGTAGCAATGATTTGAAAATTTCAATGTGTCCACCTTCACTAGCTAACATTAGTGCAGTCTTGCCATTAGTGTTTTGGTAATTTAGTTTTATTTTAAGTTCTATCAGAAGTAATGCCACTTTTTCATATTCTGCATCACTGTCAATGTGATTAATGGCATGTAAAAGTGAGTCTTCAAATGTAAAATTGACATCTTCCATTCTATCAATGACAATGTCATTGTTAATAATTATTTCAAATATACCAAAATACTGGATAATCTGAACTTTATTCTGTACTTTGTCAATTAGAGATTGTGCTGCTGAAAGAGCCACAATTAATGTAACAATGATTGATCCCTCATCAATTTCAATCAATTTGACACGCTTTGCATCATGTTCAAAAAGATATTGAATGAGATTTTCAAGACTTTTAACAGTTTTTTTACGCCATTCCCCAGTAAGTTTAATAACAATTTTGCAATGTGCTTCTGAAGCTTCATGTGGTAGAGGTACTTGCTTTATTGCATCTTTCATTTGTTGTAGTGCAGTTGATTTCTTAAATTGTTTTAATTCTTGCATGTACTGGTCAAACTCCAACTGTAACTCATCACTGAGAGGAAACTCTTTTGCAAGGTCTTCAATTAATTCAAAATTGAAAAAACTGTAATGAGGCTTAACTGAATGAAGTAGAATATCGAAACTTTCACAATTAGTTAAAGGCTCTTTTGTGAGAGGCTCTTCATAATGATCCGTTAAATATCGAGCAAAATCCTTAATTTTATACTGCTTGCATTCGTCATAGTAAGTTCTAATCTGCTTCATCACTGAAAGGAACTTTCTATGAAGATCTTGCACTTTTTGAGGTACTTCAGAGCTAAGTAAAATTTCTGAAGGAAGAGATAAATCAGGCGAAATTTTGATGTCAAATTTTAGTAACCATTTCAGATTATGTTTATTCAATACTTCACGTTCCCAATCTTCAGCTAGTGCAATGGCTGCATCTTTAGCTGGACCACCTGCTTTGGCAAGGCAATGTACAAAATCACGACATTTCTCTTCTAATTTGGTTAGATTTTCTTTGTAAATAGATAATAATACTACAAATTCATTTTCAATTTTATCAAAAGTAGGGGAGCTTTTAACATCTCGGCTAATAAGATCTTTAGAAAAAAATTCCCAAGAAACTGATTGCAAGCAATTTTTAGTAGCATGACATAAAGAAGAATAACGCCCTCTTAATGTAGATTTAATTATTTTAGTAGCATCTACTTTTGTTCCTATTAAAATAAATAATTATGTTACATGCAGAATTGTAAAACTGACCTTCTTTCCCAGCACATGAACATTCAACGTCAGTCAAAAGTTGGTTAGCTAAAATGCATTCTTTTGCATCTAAAAGTGACATCATGATTCTCTTCCATGTCATATCAGGATTATCATCAAGACAACGTTGAGCTACAGAGCTCATGTAATCAATGGGATTGGCATCCTTCCCTTCTTCCTGCACCATCTCACCCTGCTTGATATTCCCAATGATATCTTGTGTCATGTTAGGAAGACAACAGATGAATTGTTCCCAAGTACCAGCAGTAAACTTTGAGCTACTCAATAACTCAACCAACTCATCTTTTGTTGGCTTATCTATAAAATAATAATGTATTAAAAGTTAAGAATCATAACCGTTTTACCAGTAAGAGTGGGTCCAGGATTAAGTTCCACATCTCCTGATATGAAGAGGAGGATAAGAAGACAAAAAATAGACAAAACAAGTCTAGGGCCCTTTTCTTGCGCAGTATTACCAGTACTAGCTCTACCAGTTCCACAGTAACTGCTACCAGTGCTAGTACAAGCACTGGGTTGCCTCCAATGGCGGGAACAGTTCCAGGATCCTATTCTAGCTCTCCACTGACACAAATCAATCATGGCTGAGGACTTCCTTTAGAAAACATTCAATGCTGCAATAACAAGAGAGAAAAGGGGCCTGGCGATTTGAAAACAAAAAAGGGCGAGGCTCCTTTGGTGCACTGAAAGTTTGAATGGTCATAAATAAGATTTGCATCCTATAACACTGCTGATCAAATGATTCATTTGGCACATCACGAGGAATAAATCATCATTATTGTTTTTTAAAATTTTTATTGATAAGACAAAATTAACAGTTCTATTCTGATGCTGAAGGACTTGATTGCCTCTCCTCCTCAGAAGGAGCACTTCCATCAGAGAACTCTTCCTCTTCCTCCATCTCCTCCTCCTCTCCTTCACCTTTATCAGAACCACCTCCTAAAGAATAAAATACAAATAAATATCAAGTAGTAGGAAGATGACAAATGTATTGGCATTCAAAATTCATTCATTTTTGTCAGTAAAAATTTAAAAGCTGAAGTTGAAATGGCATTTTCATTTTCAAACATTCATTCATTTCAAATCGCAGAATTTTTACTTCCAGTAGATCTACATGTACATGTACATGTACACTTACATTCTAATTATTATTTTATTAATTCCATTTACTTTTACATGGAGGAGGAGAGACTGAGGGAGAGACAGAGGGAGACCTTCTTTTGTGCTTCTTGTCCTTTTTAGATTTCTTACTACTCCTCCTCCTCTCTGGACTAGGACTGTAGGAATAATCCCTCACTCTCTCCTTACGTCTGAAATAATAAATAAAAAATAAAGAAGAAAAAGAAAATAATTTCTACCTTGATGATGATTTCCTTCTCGGTGAATGAGATCTTGAACGGCTTCTTGATCGCGAGTGTCTTCTTCTATCTTTATCAGGAGACCTATAATTACAATAAAAGTGGGCGGAGTCATATGTTGCTATGGT